GCTCTACAGCGTACACGTCACTTGAAGCTGTAGACCGTACTCGACACTAGTAGCTCTAGAGTGTATACGACACTAGTAGCTCTAGAGCGCACACGACGATAGTATTTTTACAGCGTACACGACACTAGTAGCTATAGAGCGTACAGGACACTAGTAGCTCTAGAGCGTACATGACACTAGTAGCTATAGTCGTACACGACACTAGAAGCTCTACAGCGTACACGATACTAATAGCTCTACAACGTACACCACACTAATAGTTCTACAGCATACACGATACTAGCAGCTCTACAGAGTACAAGACACTGGTAGCTCTATAGCGTACACGACACAAGTAGTTCTATAGCGTACACGATACTAGTAGTTCTAGAGCAAACACGACACTAGTACCTCTAGAGCGTACACGACACCAGTAGCTCTTCATCGTACACGATATGTAAACCTTATCCGTATCTCTTTTCTTAAATTGATAAAAATTTAGTAATATAAACCCCACCAAAAACTGCGAGTGAGCTCAGGTACCGGAAGGATAAACAGATCATGTATAACGTGTGGCACCAGTCATGTTGCTCATGGCAAGTACACATTTTGTGAAATGTCTCATTCGATGAGGTCACATTCGAGGAAAACAGGACGGGATTGTGGCATCGACAATTAGAACGTTTCGTAACGGACAACCAAACCATGATGGCGTCTATAAAACTTTCGAAGGAATGACTTCAACCAAGCCACTAGGAATCCTTGGTTCAATAGCTTTCTTGTAATCAGCTCCACACTTTAAAGGATTGGAATGCAATTTGTTTTCAAAAATTATCTTCAACAGCAATATGAAGCGTTAACTTGAGTACCTTGTGTTATATTTAAGGAATGACTGTAATATTTTTTCTGTCTATGAAGAAATAACATCAAAAATATGGTGCACACTGAATAACCCGCGTAGCGAGTTATTTTAAAGTGTGCACCACATTTTTTATGTTATTTCGAATAGACAGAAAAAATATTACAGTCATTTCTTATAATTTAATTATAAATTCCATTTTAAACCGGAGTAAACCATTGAAAAACGTTGATGACGTCACGGTCACATGACAAAATTATGTCTATGAGCTGATAAACAAAACAACGTCAGCCAATCAGAAGACGCGTTACATCCAAAATTAAATTATTAAGGTATATATAGGAATTTTTTTTTCTGAGACAAGTGCCTGTGTTTTTCATGTTGAAATTGGGCAATGGTTTTTTAAATTTTCTTTGGGTATAACTTTTTTGTTATGTAAAATTATACTTTATGTTTATTTCATTATAAACTAGAGACAATTCTGATTCCAGTCATTTCTAGTTGTGTACAAGTATTTTTATTTAATACCACCACTTAGGGTTCACTTATACATCAAGCATAGTCCCTCAAAATATGACTCTATAGAAAAAAACTGTTGATTGCACCATTTATGAATTTTCAGAATCAGTGTGAATTATTTCGATTCTAATAGGACAAATACGGTAATTTAAAACCGAGCGTGGGTATGCCGTGTGTGTGGCTATTATGCCCCCTGTTAGATAAAGCTAATCTATAGCTTGCATAAATTATTTCTTAAAAAATCGCTAGAAAAAATGTGTTTAATTCTTTTAATTGTCATTACTCAACCCCAACATTTGCCATGTTTAATTTACATTTTTTTCTCGTAAGCTACCGTCAAATCCACAGTTGTTGTTGTTGACTTGCTAAAATCAGTAAATGTACGAATAATGCAGAATTTCGCGGAATTTTGTTTTATTTTGATTTTGTACATTTTCCCGAGCTCTAATGCATTAATTCTTTTTGTTATACATCATCATAAGAATAAAGGTTCTGTTTTCTTTAATTGTAATTTTTAACACAGCGAAATCGGCATAGCGTTTGCACATAGGTTACGATATATGTGGATTTACGTGGGAGGTATATTGTAAAAGCCGTTATTATGTATATCTCTGATATATCGAGAATTTTATCACGGTGTTGTTTACAAAGCTAAAGAAGCACGTCATATTAGAATCAACCTTTCATATGAACTGGAAGTGACATTTTGTAATCCGGATGCAGCAAATTAACTCTCATATTAGAAGTGAAAATATATGGAAACCACATATTTTTCGAATCAGTGTAATGAAAAAGAGGGGCGAAAGATATCAAAGGGATTATCAAACTCATCGAAAACGAACTTACAAAACCATTATAAAAAAAGACCAACAGGCAAAAACAGCGTACAAACCACAACATAGTAAACAAGTTAAGATTGAGCAACACGAATCCCACCAAAAACCGGGATAAAGCTATCATATGACACCGGAAGAGGCATTTTATACACCGGAAGTAGCCAATTATCTCCCTTATATCAAGCAAGAGTATATAGAAACCATATATTTTCGAATCGGTGTAATGAAAGCTATCATATGACATTATATATATAGAAAAGTATCAAATTATCTCCATTTTTTAATAGGGAAGTATATAGAAACAATATATTTTTGGATTCAGATTTCACCTGAAGTGACTATTTATGTAAGATTTTTGATTTACGAAAGTTACTGTTTTGTAATTAAAAAGAAAAATTTGCTTATCTGAACAAAAGTTGATTTGAACCTTGAATATCAAATTGTGAGGTGGAAAGACCTTGATTTTTTCTCTGAACAATTGGTTTTTTAATTATAATCCAATTTGTTAAACTGTCACATTATAGAATTTAGAAAGTATTGGTATAAAACGGCACTTAAAAACAGTATGACAAAATAACCAACATACGATTATATAACAACAGTGTAGGTGTGTGTAACCTTAGGAATATGTGTAGACTTGAGAAAGATGATGGAGTCGAGAGTACCTGACATTCATAATTTAATTCATTAGAGAGAGTAAACATATTCATTCAGAATTACAGTAACAGTATTGCGTGTCAGTCTAATCAAGGAGATCCGAATATAACATCCTTCGTCTAATAAATAATTAGTTAGTTAAACTTTTTTTATGTTACATTATCCTTTTGTAGTCCATTATTCGTGGCCCTCATATCAAAGCATTTTCACTGTTAGATCACATTTTTTTAAATATTATATTACTACTAAATTTGATACTGACACCCACATAAAAGTATCCAAAAATAGAAATAAGTAATAAATACTTCTGATAGAAAATATTAAAAAAAACATTTGTTTTATCTTAAAATAGAAAAAAAACATGAACGCAAAAGCTCACGTTAATTCATGATACTACGAAACACTCTATATAAAAATATGATTACCAATGAGACAAATTTCCACAAGAGACCAATCTGAATGGAAGTTAGTAACTAGAGGGCACGGTACTGTCTCTTATTGAGGAAAACCCGTACTGCATAGTAAGTTATAAGATGCACACAGACATAAAAAATGTTAAACAATTCAAACGAGATAACTTTTTGGAAAGGTTATACTTGTTACATTGTAAACACTCAAATCAATCGCCAATATATTTTAACAAATTTCCGGACAGACCTTACCTCATCAATAGGTAATAGAGGTTTCAAAATAACTTTTAATCTCTTGGCATTCGGAAGAGCACACACTATTGACATGTTTACCTTAGGAAGGTATCCTTTCTGTTGTTCTTGGTTATGCTAATTATCCCACTGGGCCCACTGGGAGCCGATTCAAGAAATATAGGTTACGTATTTAAAAAAACCTTTAAAACTTAAAGCTCTTGACAAGTGAGCACTTCCTATTATGTCAATATCTTTAAAGGAATATATTTTCAGGTCCTAAATTTTGGACTCTAGCAAACATGGTGGCGGGTTCTTCAGAAACACATGTCATAAGCAAAGACATTGGAATCGTTGGTGAATTAATGGTGTGTCCGATATGTAGGCGACAGTCGTCTTATTGTGTTATCAATAAGACCTACCACGATACAACGAATTTCAGGCAGGTTTAATTTATTTTACTCCGCGTCCTTCGGTCTCAGGAGTCGGTTTCACAAAAAAACTTACGACTAAGATTGATCGTAAGTATACTGAACTGTTCATGACTTACGATCAATCTTAGTCGTATTTTTTTTTTGTGAAACCGACTCCTGGATATTTGTCTCATTGAAAATCGAACCACATCTCCTTATTTTTATTTTTTAAGTCACAGTTAATAGTCCATGAATTTATGTTTACATATAGGACAAGTCACAAACAACTTTATTGCCTACATTTGTTTACAGCTCCGAATTTGACGATCTTTTTTCAATTATAACATATATTAATCATACATTGGCCATTTTTTGTTTACAGTCTTTTTTTTTTACATGTTGACAGTGAATTCAAATAAGATATCCGGAGTTCTTAAATGTGAAACCAACGATAGCACACACTTCAGAGGGAGGTAGCAATTTATTTCAAAATAATTTCATATACGACAAACTTGAACTACAGCTTGTATTAAGGTGAGTTTTCTAGTTGTAGATAAAGGACATTTCATTATTTATAACTTTTTAAAAGCTCTAGATGCTGTTTTCTTTTCTTTTTTTTAAATATATTGTTAACTTGACAAACAATTTTGTCTACATCATTTATTTCAAAATACTCCAAACACTCTAGGAATTTAAAATCAATATATGGTATTAATGAAAGAATTTCAGAGCTGTACTCAATGGAGTTTTATAAACAAACAGGCAAAAATTTGTTGTAAATACATTGTCTTAAAGTTTTGACTGTTTATATATGTTTAATATGTTCTAACGTATTAGACATTTTGATGTTTTCTCTTCTCTTATGATTTAGTGTGCATCCCCTCTCAGTAGCAACAGAAGATGAAAGCAAAGTTTTCATCAACTTTCACAGCATAATTCCCACTTTCCACCCGATGTCTGTCTGTGTGCTTTTTGTACGGGATGGGGGTTGCTTTCTCTATCAAGTTCAACCCGCCTGTGCAAGGGAAGGGTTGGGTTTTTGGATTGGGTAAATGTTGTATGTGTATATCACTAATAAATCAGATGCAAAGAAAACTTCATGAAAACAAAATAAACTTTATTAGTATTCGAACAAAAGATACAGAGTTATCTAGCAAACAGCAAGTACAAGCTTCATTTCTTATTGTATCCAATATTGGTAAATAAAAATTTTATGTAACCTTCACTTTGTTACGTATCTAAATGATATAATCAGCAACTAAGAAATAGTCTTTCTGTAACATTTAATTGCTAATGCATGATGTGGATGATCAAAAGTAGAGTAGTTCATAATACCTTTTCTATATATAAGTGATACAAATCTTTTCGGTTAATATATTGAGTCACAGAGATAGAATTTCAAGGTAACACAATCCAATTCCGTATAAAGAATTTTTTTTTGTGTCATAATTTTCTACAAAATATTTAAATCAAATAAGTTGAATAATCTGTTTCTTTACAATTATTGTTCTGATGCCAAACTGATCCTATAATTGAGACAAAAAGAAAAAGAAAGACAAAGATCGCTTTATGATAGATTGAAAATGTAGTAACCCTTTAGTCATGGTAATGAAGAGAAAAAACTGATATTGATAGCGATTGCACATTCATTTTTACTATTAAGCTTTCGCGCTTGATTTTAACAGCATATAGTCTTTCGTTCGAACGAATCAAGTAATTATTTGTGATAATCGCTCTGATCTCAAACAGTTAATTCGTTGAACTATCAGTATTCGATTTGAAGTAACTAAAAATTGCATCGTTTATCAATTTCCAAATTTGATGTAGACATCAGAAATTAAAATCTTCCATAAACAGTGAGCAAAGAAGTTTTCACTTGTTGTTGTAGGTATTCACATGTTTATTTTAGTTGATGAAAATGACATCTACTTGCAAGAGTTGTTCTAATGATGTAGATAGTATACGAATGAGCAATTACTAGTTTACGATAAGTTAACATGTGATCGTGAACAAAACTAAAACAATAAGGGTGAAAAATCCGCAGAACTTCTAAAATATTAGATAAATCATCATTAAAATCAATCGAAAGGAAAACTTTTTGAAATGTTTCTCTCAAAATTTATGTATGATAGCAAATTTTATTGGATGGCAAACGTAATATTTTCGTTGCCATAAATTAATTACGAACCTACGCGTTTAAATACATAATCTTGATTTGCATTCTTAACAGCTTAGAATTATGTCCCCCTGGAATATTTCAACTGGAATTCGATACACTTATTCAATTCCATTTCTTGTTGAAAACTCTAGAGGATGTCCAAATTGATATTTGACGGCAATCTGTCCATAGCACTCGTGTAAACGTCACCAATAATAAAAGTTATCTGTAAACCGCACAAACAAATTGTGGAAGAAAACGGCACTTTATGTAATGAATTACAAACTTCATTAATCATCTACTCTGATATCCAACTATTAAGATACTTATTTTTTATACCTATATGGTCTTTATCCATTTCACTTCAAAGGCAGTTACTCTTTAGAATATATAAAACCATAAAAATTACCACAACTACAAAAGGTTTTAAATTGTATTACTTATCCTATTTGAGATTGTCAAAGCATATGTCATAATGTTTTAACAATGGTGTGCCAAAAATCAGCAAGAATGATTTTCGCTGACAATGAAAAAGATTGTAAAATTAGCACTAACAATTTGATCGTCTGTTCTGTAAATCAAACACTTTAAAATTCCAATGTCTTGATTTGTATCAAAAATACTAACAGAATCAGTTCATTTTAGTAAAGAGAATGAAGTAAAGGAACTTCAACAGAATAATTCTTACAACAACTTTATAGAAAAAAGTAATTTTAACGTGAGTGTAATCGACCGTTTGGTTGATATCATTAACACTTTTACATTTCAACAATTCAGCTTAAACTAACTCATTAAATTCACTCGGAATGTGAAGATTATTTCCTTAACCTTTATCATTTTTTCTTATCCAATATCACACTATTTTGTTTTTTAACAAAATAAATATATTTTAGATGCATTTTAAACTTTATTGTTACAAAATATGTTTTTCTGAAGATCATTTTGAATAATATATGGCATTTAATGTGACGTCATCATTACGTCACACTTGTAGACCACCTTCAATCAGCCTGTTCAGCATGAATTGTACATCGAACCATTCTTCCTGAGGCATTCCCATTTTCAACAATGGCCTTTCGTCTCCAGTCAGTACCGCCATAAAAGCTTCATGAAGATTTTCTTCTGATTGTGGGTCCATTCCAACCATAAGTTTCACCTCTTCCAAATCTGACGACACTATTCAGAAATAAATTTAAAAAAAATGTCAAGGATGATTATAATGTTAGAAAAGTACCACTCTGTGCATGATTATACATAGAAATTTGCATGTTAAAATAATGTCATTTATTACAAAAATGTAATAAAAGGTTTTCTTTGATATTGAAAGTCTTATAACTCTGAAAAATGTTTTATCTAATTGACTATGTATTAATTTGGCAAATTGTTCTCTTATACGTCACGTATTAAGTCAACAATTGCTATAATATAGAAAGAACAATTTTGAGATTATATTTATTTTGTCTAGCTAATTCAAATCTATCTGCCTGTGTAAATAAAAGGAATATGAAACGAAAACACAACTTATGAGATTAGTTATATTCTGGTCATGTATCCGTCAGATAAATAACTATATTATGAAAACTTCGGCAAAATACGGAAAGAAATCTATAACTCGTTTCAATTTCCATTTTTATTAATATCACATTTCTGATAATAACAAATTCTGATAGAATTATACAAGATAAAATATAGTTTGTCGTGGTTTTAGCATAAAAACATATGTTTTATACCTCATTATTATATCAAATTAAAAATATACAATGTGGTATTATTTTGCTGTTCTGAATTAGCGATCACCAAATTGAATACTGGATAATATGAACATAAAGAAATTGCCAAACAAAATAGTCTTTTGGAAATGTTCTATCTCTAAGATTTGATAATGAAAAAAAATCCTATGAATATTTATGTTTTAATATATCTTTATTCTAATTCGGCAATGTTCCATTAATCGGTATGTACATATCAGTTATATGCCAGTGTTTCGCTAAGTAAACTTTAGGCAGTTTTTCGTGCCATTTGCTTAGCTATATATAGTTTGATGCTCCAAGAAGTTTTCCCAGCCGGTATGTTATGTGCGTACTTGAAGAATTTTGTGTAAAAAAAAACACAGTATCACCCTAAGTAATTCAAGCAGTACAATAAACTTCACATAAAACGAATCCGATTTTTCTTAATTTCTTACAAAATATTTACCAACTAGGCTATGAGCTACTAATTCTGGTGAGGCTCCATTAAATAATGCAGGGATTATCCAATGCTCGTTTTTGATTAGAAAATCCTCCAGATCTCCTATTGAAGGTCTTTTTTCTATAATGCAAATAATTAATCATTGCGATATTATCTAAAACATCTTGCTTTAAACATACAAACTCACTTGTTTTGAACTAGTTCTAATTCTAAAATTTGTATTTTTCAGGTAATGCTTCTGGCCCACGACTGTCTTACCAAACTTATCTTTTCCATAGGGAAATAATGAAATCATTTTTAGAGACTTAAGTTCCAATAGGTAGTGAATCGACATTAATATCTCCATCCAACACATGTTGTGCCTTTACTAAGTCAGGTTTTCTGAACCATGTGTTGTTCGTGTTTGTTTGTATTAGTTTGTATGTCTGTTTTTTCCGGGGGAGTCGTTGTTGATTATTTTTTATGTATTATTAGATGATATTAGTCATCCCTAGTCACCCCTATAATGTTAGGATGGATAAATGTTTTTAGTGTAGCAGGAAATCTTCCTGCTATAATCAGGACTGGGATTTTGATTTGATTTATTTGCTCTGCTTATAGAAACACCAACTGTTATGTGTTCAAAAGCATCTGAATTCACCATAGTTTTTGGTTTGCATCAAGTTTCTTGATATCAACTTTTTTGTGTAAGGTTAGTGTTTTCATGACAATTTAAAATTTTTATTGTGTTTTCTCCTTCGTTCATGGTAATGTCTCTCAGGCACTTGTCTCTGAAATTTTTTTCCCTATATACCTTAATAGAACATATTTTTTTCAGAGACAAGTGCCTAAGTGTTGTCGCTCCTTCATTGACTTATGATGTTTACTTTGACTGCCCCTTAGAGGCAGTTTTGCTTTGACTGTCCCTTAGAAGCATTTTTGCTTAGATGGGCTCTTAGCACCTTTTTGTTTTGATTGGTCATCAGTATCATTCAAGTTTGCTTTGCAAGACCCTATCATCATTTTTCCTTTGATCGACCCTAGTATCAATTTTGCTTTGGTAGCGCGTTAGTAGCATTTTTGCTTTGTTTTATTCTTAGCACCTTTTTGTTTCGATTTGCCATCAGTATCATTTTTGCTTTGCTTGGCCATGGCATCATTTTTGCTTTGATCGACCCTTGTATTAATTTTGCTTTGATTGTCACTAGTATTTTTTATTATTTGCCATAAGTATCATTTATTCGCTTGTCTGATATCCCAAATCGGATTTTGATGTGCAAGTCAACAAGGTCACAATCCGCGAGAAGACATGTTACCCTCCCGAAGACATTATTCTGGCTCTGAGTCGACAAAATTTAGCAAATACTAATTCGCAAAGGGTACACTTGTTACTCGGTACTGCCTTGGAATCGTAGGAAGGCAGATGTATGAATAGTAGGAGATGCTTACCCTGTCGTCTTATCTTTGAGTAGTAGGAGATGCTCACCCTGTCGTCTTATCTTTGAGTAGTAGGAGATGCTTATCCTGTCGTCTTATCTTTGAGTTCCGTCTATTTAAAGGGTTCGTCACTCACATGAAAGTCTATGTATATTATATTTTATTCGAAATCGGTATACTATCTTCATTATAAAGTCTGTGGTTTGACGTAGCCGAGGATCAAACCAACGACCTCTTACACTCAAAGCGAGCACATTACCATGAGACCACCTGGATGATATTCACTTTTAAGTTCGAGTAGTGCCCGGTTGACATAAGAAGTGATAATAGATTGTAATAGTTTTAAAAACTTACTAGCATTACATAAAGCTGGACTTTCATCGAACCCATCAGGACATTGCGGAATAGAATCACACACTTGTTCTAAAGCTATACATGTTGGTGACGATCGACAAAGAAATGGTTTATCTTCTTCGCAAGGGTTACCTGAAAAGGAAAAAATTGTAAAAATGTGTTTGTATACAAAGAGAAGAAGAGCAGACAGATAAACACGTGTTCTCGTGAATATCATATCTTCTTCCGAAAGCATTTCAAGTCATAATCAAATAACATGTGTAATAATACATAAGATAATTGTATAAGTAAAACGTGCATTTTCAGGTCTTTTTTTAAACGTTGGCCAAAACCTTTGAATAAAATCTTAAAAGTACTTAAAAAACAGACAACTCAACAATTCTTCATTAAAATGGGAATATATGGCATTAAAATGACATGATACAATATGCAAAAATGCATCAAGTTCTCCTTAGAATTTTTTGTGTCATAAGTGTAATAATTACTTGAAGGAAACTATACTTTTTAAGGTCAATGTTGACCCCTTTTTGAACTGTATCCTTTTGTCTTAGCATGTTTATTCATTCATAGAAAACATATCTGATATTCTATAATGCCTGATCTTAATAGTTTTCTCTTTTATAAGAGAAACCCATGAAGTTAATTGAAAGATTATTATCAGAATTTTAAATGTTTATCCTACTTTTTAAGACATAAGAATAAGTTCGTTTGGTAATATGAAATGAAAATCTGGCTTCTTTTCAATTCACTTATATAAGCCCCAGATTAAAAAGATTTTTTTTTCACAGTTATTCCTGATGATGAATGGGGATTAATTTCTGAAATGAAATGGCGTATGGGAATTCATTCTGTCCCTTGTTTGACGGATTAGAAGGTTTTATAAACTAGTCTATTAATTTTCAGAGAAAAACCATACAGTTGTTGATGTGTCGTGGAATGTATCGAGGAATCAATTTGACAAGATTATTAGTTTTACAACGTTAAACATTATTACTAAGAGGATAAGAAGAACCAATAATGGAGGAAAACAACAAGCAACTGGAACTCTCTTAATTGTTACTTTGTAATATTATAGAAGTGATAAAATCGATTAAGCTGTAATGAGTTCTTGCAATTTCCAGAGCTCTGTGTGTGTGAGAGAGAGAGAGAGAGAGAGAGAGAGAGAGAGAGAGAGAGAGAGAGAGAGAACAAATATATGTTATGCTATGAACATATCATTTATCAAATGAAGAAGAAAGCATGGCTTTCTAGTGTATATTAAAATCTAAGTCAATTTCTGAGATATGATTTAAACTAAAAAAAAACAACGAGTTTTTGAAATAGTGCTATAAACAAATTTTGAAAAATGTCTCTTTCTTTCTAAATTTTTATAAATTCTGCAACAAACTTTCGCAACTTATACTGTGTTTTGTACGTTTAAAGAAACCAAATACAGAATGAGATGATACCACTTTAGACGAATCAAAACAATCTTACCAATGACATAAAATATTATTGATAAACACAATGTTTAATCTTGCTTAGGAAAAACTTTGCTCTCAATGATGTTTATCATCCATAAAAATCTTTAATTGATGTCAAAGAGCAAATCGCTAATATCGTAAAAAATCAGAAATGAGTAAGTTAAACATATATGAATAATCTTCCATATATTCCCTTCTGTCTTGAGTCAAAGGCTGGGAATGTAAAAGTAAACAAAATCTAAGTAGTTTTGCAGAACAACAATTTATCAATTTGTACAAAGATATGACATGATTTCTGTGCGCACACCGCGTGATTCTGTCAAAAATATAAACACTGGAGAAACCAAAACAAGACCTGTACAAAACAACCAGAACCGTTTATGGTTATAGGGAGTTCCAACCTTAGCCTGAGAGCATTGACACCACTAATCTTAACTTTAGACAGGCAAACAAGTCGGAATTTTGGTAAAGCAATTGTATTTCAATACAGGGAAGTAAGATTAATGCCGTTTCAAATTTTCTACAGGTCCAAAATCACAACGTAGACCGCATTGTTCTATCAGTGAATTACAAAAAAAAATTCTTATTTCATTCATAACCTTTTTTTTTTAACATACACATGTTTACATATTTTTATTTTTTAGAATTCTTTTTTATTATCTACAAGAGTTGAATTATAGAGGCAAAGTTTGATATCAACTATGAGAGTATAATTTCTTGAGACAATGTTTGATATTATCTACAAGAGAATAATTCATTATATAAAGTTTGAAATTATCTGCGAGTGTAATTTCTGGAGAAAAGGTTGTTAGAGTATAACAGTAATCTGTTTACTAATAGTCTCTATACCATAATGAATAATTTCTATACTATAATAAAAGAGACTAAAACGTCTAAACAATGATATACTGAGTTCGTTCTGTTGCTAGTCCATTATTCGTTTACATAGATCCAGTTTACTTTTTCTAATCACTCAACTTATAACTCATAAAAAAAAACAAGACAAGAGTAGAAAGACGGCTCGGTGTAAGAATAATGTTTACGGGTTAGGTGACATGTCTTCCTGTCAACTGCTACCTTGTAAACCAGCACGTTTAAAATCAGACTCAGCGTGATGATCTATTACAAAGAATTGTTTATATTCACATAACATTGATATGTTGTCATCCTGATATGCATGTTATATTCGTCACTGGACGTTAAACACCAATTCACCATTCTTTCAAGTCGATATAGACCTTGTCGCGTGGCTAAGGCATTTCTTTATTGTTGATGATTATATATGTTGTTATCTAGATGTCTGTTTTTTGTGATGTTTGGTTGCGTTCTGGTTGATTCATTCCCGCATCAACTTTATTCACACATCTCTGCGATCTATTTCTCGCATGAATGGACATATCTTGTATCATACTGAACGTGATTTGAATAAGTAATACGAAAAATGTGTTAATTTGGTTGGCCTATCCTGCAATGTGTTACGAAATTGCGACATTTCCATTGGCTATTCGTTAGGCCAATGAATATATCGAAAATATTCCCACAGGACAAAGACAATTTTTACCATAAGAGAAATAGGTTAACAACTGAGAATTAGATATCACTGAAGATACCAGCTCTATATTAAATTTCAGATATCTACGAATCCTATAATTATGCAAAATGCACCTTCATAATTCACTACTTTCTGTACCTTGTTGTCGAATTATAGGGCGCTTGTTGCATAAACATCCAATAAAGAACAGATTGTCTTATTACAGACTTGTTATTCATCTGGGACGATTTAAAATTGCATAAGAAAGAATATTGTTTTACAAATTTCAAAATTAATGATTAATCTTAAATAAAACTTTCGTGTAAGCATGAATTACTATCTGGACATCGACATCGTGTCACCTTATTTGTTAGGTGACGCGTTATCATCTCGTCTAAAGGAGTGGTGTTGAAAATAGCAAAGAAAGTACCTACTGATTCATGTGTCGATTTAGGACAAAATATGGTTGCCAAGTATTATCAAAGGGAATGGTCAGATATAATTCTGTTTAAACTTGTGGTGTGGCAATATAATTCAGGAAATTAAAGTCTACAATTTATCAGAATAATCGATTTTTACAAGACATTATCTGATAATGAACAAATGTATGAAGTTCCGTAAATGGCGACAGTAAGCTAAACCTATATCACACAAATAATGAATTTTTTTATGTACTGCAACGTCAACTTTGACAATTAAAATCCATATATTTTGTAAATCCATTAGTACTAAAGTTGCTTTAACTTGTTTATTCTAAGCCATAGTTTAGATTATTTTATACGGTGAAGTATTTGAACAAACCACCAAAAAAAGTTTTGATGTAAAAGAGACATTAAAATATATACCAATTTCAACCCACTGTCTGAAAATATTGTGCAAATTTTACACCATATTCCCAGCAGTGTAACATCTTACGGAAATGAAAATACAGATATGAAAAAAATGAGCGAGACGTCACGCAACACAGACGTAACCCTGGTTTCCTAGACAAGTGTAAGTGACAAATACAAAATTAATAGCGGTAAATAATTGTAAAGGAAGGTCTTCAGACACCATTAATTGTTTGTTTTGATAACAAACACATGATATGTCAATATAGGATACAAATGAAAGTGAAAATGAGGAAGAGTTTTCAGAGAGAATCTAAGCTGTCAGAAACTTATTATAATGCAAAATTGTCCAATGCAAAATATAAAATGACGAGTTAAAGGCGAATAAAGATCAAAAGCATAAAACCAAGAAAATCATTGTATATTTAATTTAAGGGGTAACTTTTGAATGACTTTTTTCTAATAAAGTCTAATGAATTTTTTGATGTTTGTTGTCTTTTTAAGGTGGTTCCAAAAGTATGGTATCGATATACTGCTAAATCAGGATCAACCATACCAGTTTATAAATTGAAAGCGCCATACTCGACTTCTTCTTTTTTTTTTTAATCGGACACTCTCAGACCCAAAAGCTTCGAAAGTCAAAGCGTATTAAGACATAGGAAGGTATCATGAAAAGTGTGCATAATAAGACGAGACAAGCTGATTATTTTTGCTAAGTATGATAATACCATAAAGTCATCAATAAATTACCACAAGGCGAAGAGAAAACACATACACCATGCCCAAAAGATGAAAGACGAAAAGACAAACAATAGTCCATAAAGCATTACATAGAAAGCCAAAGATACACGAACACTTCTATGAAACCCTTTGGGGGTAAGCAGTTTCTGCTCCACAAGTGACACCCATTGTATTGCTAATGGCAAGTTCAAATTCAGTGTTTAGTCGAATTCAGTTGAAAGTCTTCAATGAGGAAAAGATGTCTAGATTGATTCTTCGACAAATGAAACTTTTCTGTGACACAAATATTATCTTACAGAGCCAGTCCAGTCATAAATGCATTCGTAAAACGACCACGTAGAAATAACTTGAATTCTATTTGAAACCGTTGGCTCATAACACAGAATTTATCAAGATTTATGTTATAAAACATGGTTATTCTAATTATTAGTTGGACAATACCCTTGTGCTCAGCATTGGTATCAGAGTATTAGTTAATTTAGTCTAAGTGTGTGAATGATATTCACTGCATTCCATGCACATTTGTGTATTCACCAGGAATGTTGAGAACCAAACAGCTTGAAATCC